CTTTTTTTATATGAATTTTTTTTTTCTATTTCTAACTGCAATACATTTTACAATAGTTGAAAAAAATGTTATTTCTTAAAACTTCAAAAGTTAATAAATTAGGTCTAACATATTTTTTGTAAAAACAAGCAAGATTAATTAATAATTAAGTAAACAATAAAAAATTAAAGAAATTAATTTTTATAATTTAATGAAACTAAGAAAATTCATTAAAATAAGCTTTAAATGGGAGCGTCCCATGCAATTTCTCAAAATATTTTATGGTACGGCATGATGTTTTGCTTCATCAGAGTGAATTTTATTAACCATTTGATTAACTATAACTTAGATCTATAAATGTCCACTTTAAAAATAGTGTTCGGTATGTCAAAAAACTCTCACTTATAAATAAGGCCATCGATTAGAAAACTTATTATATTAATAGAGCTATCATAAAAGTTTCTTAATAATATAATTGTAAAAAAGTAAAATTTTTAAAACATTTTTTTAAATAGAGAAATTTCATTCAATTAAGTTGATATATATATATAATTTAATATAGTTGCAATTACCACCAAATACATGGGTATTCAAAATTGTAGACAAGGACTGAATTCATCAATGAAGATAAATGAGGCGCATAGGTGAATTAGAGATGAAAATAATCTTTATGCGGACGGGAATTTTTCCCAATCAAGACGGAGATATAAGATAATAATTAGATATGGGGACGGAGATGAAGACAAAAACTTATCCCCGAGTTATAACAGGGTGGGGATGAGGAAAGCACTCCCCACCCCACCTTCGTTTCTATATACATATATTGTATATTTTGTACAAATTAATATATGTAATATTAAAATATTTTGTGGCTTTATTACTAAGTTTGATTTGCATTTTTTGTTTTTGTAGAATTACAATTGATTTTCGTTTAAATTTAGATTTGATTTTTGTTTTAAATTGTTATAACGATGAAATGTGTAATTATATTAGTGGGGAATGGGACGGGTATGGAAAATGCCTTTCCAATGGAGAATCTCTGGTCCCATCTCTTCTTAAGTGGGGATGGGGACAAAGTGGGAATTGTTTTGGGAGCCCGGGATAGGGGATGTGAAATCGTTTCAAGCCCCCACCCCGCCTTTTGCCAAGGTGAACACGAGTCTTGATATTCAGTGAGGAAAAACTCGCTGGACACATTAATAATCAAGCACAATAAAAGCTTGTTTGACAAAACATCTACAATCGATTGATAAAACCATTCAATCGAAACCGAAAGATCATAGTGCTAAAGTCGCTCACAACACTATTTAAAATCAAACTGAGTAGACTAGACTTACCACTATCATAAAAATATGAAGTAATGACTTTTACTATTACACAATGAAAATGTAGAGTCTAGAACGATAAAATCAACACCATCTTCGTTACATCAAAACAAAAACTTAAAACAAGAGGAAAAAAAAAGGCCACACAAGTAAGATTTCTAGCGAAAGCGGATCAACGAGATCAAATGGGGCAAGTAACATAATGTTGTAAGGGGATAGAAATGCTGCAAAAGCACCATAATGACAGGTGAAAACCAATAGCAGTCACCATTGAAGCGCACAGCCTATCATCTCTAAGACCACCGCAATGATGGGATTCAAACCCACACGGATGCAGCTCGTATGAATATATGGCTGAAAAATCTGACACTTTTGGGTTCCTATATTTTATCGATTTAAATATAAAATTTAAATTTTATTATAGTAAAAAATTTTTAAAAACAGTCACATTTAATTTTTTTGTTACAGTAAAAATTTCTCACATAAAATTATATATCAACTCAAATTAAAAAACTGAATTATCAAACTAAACGGGCCCTTAATTTTTATTATTTTTTAAAAAAATCTGACTGAAAAATCTAAAAAATTATTTTTTAGAGAAAAAAATTCCAAAAGAAAATTTTTGTTTTTTAGGAATTTTTTTAGGGAAAATATTATTGTTTTTGCAAAAATATCAGCCTGCTTAACGATTGAAAAATGGAAAACATGCACATAGGGTATAGACTACAGTTTTATTCTTTTTATATTTTCTTTTTTTCGCTTTTAAAAAAAATCAATTTGTCAGGATTTAACTTCTTGATTGACGGATATAAAATTATTATAACAAGCGCATTGATTTTAGTAAAGAAGGAAAAGTAAGAGAGAGAAAGAGACCGTATACGGAAGAGGACCATACGGCTTGTCCGACACACCCACGGAGACCTCTTCAGCTGAGGTGGGCCCCATGAGGTCTCTCTTTCTCTTTCTCTCTCTCTCTCTCTTTCCTGTTTCTGTTTCATTTTCTGTTTCCTGTTGTAACGTCCCAATGCACACCGTAACTCTTTCACTTCTCCACTTAACCTTTTCTTCTAAAATTACTCTTCTACCCCTCTTGTGGTTTACGTGCTTGACATTGAATGACTAAAATACCCCTTCAATTGGAAAAAAGAAAAGGTTAGTGTTGTTCTTTTTTTTTTTTTTTTTTTTTTTTTTTTTTTTTTTTCTCTTTTCCTAACGGGGCTTGGAGTTCATAGTTTTAATTTTGGATTAATTCTTTTTTTTTTTTATAACAAAGGGGGAGTTTATGTGCTTAAGTAATGGAATTTTGTTTTATTTTAAAAAAAAAGCTCGGATGATTCTTGAACCACGTTTCAAAATCTTTTTCTTAATCTTTGATAATAAAAAAAGTGTCTTCTTCGATAATATAATGGATAAATAAAAGAATTTTAGATTATTTGTAGCTTTAGCTAGTAAGTAAACTAAGGACATCAAATCTATAATTTTCAGTGAATTTTGCAATTGATGGACTTTAAGCAATATATTTTTGAGAAATTAATGACATTTTTTTTTTATCTATATGTGTACGACACATTCCTATTATAACATTTCACCAAAAGTATATCAAAATCCACCAATTTTCTTATATAAAAAAACGTAACGGTTTAAAACTGTACGATACGAGCACGACATTCTTTGTTTAATTGTTATTCCCCACAATACAATTACAAGTTATCTAATATTTAAATTGCAATATTATGAATGCTATCTAAAGTGACTACATATCTCTTATTTGAAATATACCATGATCAAGTAATATATAAATTTAAAATGGGCGCTACAAGTAAGATACTTTTAAAGAGTGAGATTCGTAGCTGAAATATTACGTTTGAGATAGATGATTTTGAATTGGAAATCAACTAGAATCTCAATTTCATACAACGCCAAAAAATATGTAGTGGAATATGCACAACACATAATAGTACTTCTACGCCTGAGTCAAGTACAAAACAAGATAAAAAGCATTAGATGCAAATGCCAAAAAGATATAAAAGATGTTGAATATAATATTGCATCTCTATAAGAAAAGATGAGCTAGCCCAGAACAAGTTACCTATTTGTGATAAAGTTGGCCAATTTGTATTTTGGATACTTTATCTTTATCTATTTTTGAATGTATTCCGATTGACATGATTTCTTTTGATAAAAAAATTGAAGTTCAATTTAGATATGATTAAAATTTTCGGGTGTAAACATATTTTTAAATTTTTTTAACAATTATTGAGTCAAACAATGAACACGTTTGTTGATCCACTAATTAGTATAAATAGATCAAAATATATTGATTCAAAAGGTGCATGATATTTAGGTCTTTAATTGACTTGAGCCACATCATTCCATCAAGTTGTTAATTAGTGACCTAAAAATGTTTCAGTTTTTGCGCACCATGACATTCTCTTTACTCGGTATATTATGTTCATAAATCATATTTCGCACGATTGTTTAAGACTCTAAGCTAACAAGGTCTCGACTTGTTTTTTGTTTTTTTTCTTTACTACTGAAATACCTCATAATGATATTATAGATATACCAAAATGACTTCCTTAAAACAAAAACAAAAAATGTCAATTGCATACATTTATGGTAGCCTTCATGAAGTTGCTTATTTCAAATTAATTCAATCATCAATTAAATTATAATCGACTCAAGAAGTAAATACTAAAGATTTTACGTTGAAGTTCAGCTTCAATAGTACCCACGATTTTATTTTATTTTTTCAGTTTCTTAAGAATCGAGCACAAAAATTATTGTCTTAATCTCACATGTACTCTTTAATTTTTAAAGTCATTCTCACTTTACCCTTAAATGTTAAAAAATGTTAAAAACTATCATTTTACCTATTAAATTTTGAATTTATCTCATTTAAGTCATTTTATAAGAATTTCTGTTAAAATCAAACAGAAAAAGAGAGAGTTTAAGTGTGATTATGTGAGTCTCGTTCATTTCACCGATTCGAGTTTTCAGTTCTAAGGCCTCGTTCATTTCACCGATTCGAGTTTTCAGTTCTAGGTTTCTACAGTAAAAAGCTCTCAGAAAATGTCACAACTAGCTTTTTCTGCTACAGTAAAAAGTTCTCACCAAATATCACATCTCAGCTCGAATTGAAAACTCGAATCTGCGAAGTGAACGAGGCCTAAGTTTCTATAGTTAAAAATTGTCAGAAAATATCACATCTAACTTTTTTTACTACAGTTAAAAGCTCACATCACAACTCGAATTGAAAACTTGAATTCGCGAAGTAAACGGAGCCGTGGTGTTTCTTTTTTTTAATAAAAATTTAAACAAAAAAGCTACGTGACTGTATTATTCTTTTTTTCTCTATATGTTTTTAATAAAAATTACAATAAAAGGGATTAAGTGAGAATAATTTAAAATTTAAGAAGTAAAGTGAAAATTTTTAAAATTTAAAAGATAAATTAAAAATGACATTAAAATTCAAGTCACTAGTAATAATAATCCAACATATATAAAGTTGGTTGAAGAGGTTATTTTGGTCAATCTAAAAGAATCAAAAAAAGAAGTCACAATAGAGCAAAAGTGGCATAGTGGGGAAAAAACGAGTAACAAGGGGCAAAGTGGGAAACCAAAGGGGTGGTAACTGGTAAGGAGTAGGAATCATAATCAAGAAAGGACCCAGTTTGTCTCCTCAGAAGTGGATCTTCGCACGTTATGAAATGTATTTGCGGTGGAGAGAAGAAGATGAAGAGTAATAGTACGAACTTTTAGAGAGAGAGAGAAAAAAAATAGTTAGAGGAGAGAGAAAACCGCCAGCTCTCTTTTGCATATGCATATGCTTGCACTGTACTACCAGAAAACAAAGCACCAACAACACCATAACTCATCCCAACCGACTCTCTCTCTCTCTCTCTCTCTCCTTTTCCCCTCACCATAAAATTTCTCGACGTATTTTTTTTGTTGGTTGCAGAAAGATCGAAGAAAAGGGTTTTTTCAAATTCGTTAAAAGTTTCTGTTCCCGTCATTCAAAAAAAGAACCAAATTTCAGGGTTTCAGCGTCCCGGATTAAAGTAGATGAGTACAAGCAACATCTGCAAGTTCCGTCATATGACCACAACTTTCTTCGAAATTCTGGATAAACCCACATCGAGTTTCGTCTTCGTGACCGACCCATGAAGAGCTTGTACTGGTTGAAGCAGATTTCGAGCAATGGCAGCGGTGGAGACTGCCGCAGGAGGCTGTCGTTGGGGGAGTACAAGAGAGCGGAGTCGTGGTCGAAGTACCTGGTGTCGTCCGGCGCGAAGATCAAGGGCGACGGAGAAGAAGAATGGAGCGCCGATCTGTCGCAGCTCTACATTGGATGCAAATTCGCCTCCGGTCGGCATAGCAGGATCTACAGAGGCATTTACAAGCAGAGAGATGTCGCCATCAAGCTCATTAGCCAGCCCGAGGAGGACGAGTCCTTGGCTGCTGAGCTTGAGAGCCATTTCACCTCTGAGGTCGCTCTCTTGTTCCGCTTGAGCCACCCTAATATCATCACTGTAAGTTTCTCTTTTTTTTCTTTTATTTTGGCATTCCGTTTCTCATTTTGTTCGTCAATGTAAAAATCTCGAGACACGGACCTAATCGGATTCTACTCGAAAAATGAGTCCAGTTTTCAGTTTCTCTACCACTTTGTAACCCCCACCGTACAACTTATTAGCTGGGTGGGGGTCTTAAATAAGGCGGTGGAGTATCGTATCCTTCCCTTGCTAAAATGGCTGGGACAAAGTATTGCGATTCCGCGAGGGTGAGCTAACTCTGAAAACCTGTTGAGATTGTAGACTGCAATTGGCCTATAATAAGTCCGGAATAGCTAGTAATTGTCAATCAGCCGTACGGCGGGAAATTCGTTACTGGGCCTTGTACACACCGTCCGTCACACTATGAGAGCTGGCCGTGCCCGGAGTCGTTCTTGAGAGGAGGAGAATAGGGAAAGATATTCTCACCGCTAACCTATTTGGTGGTTGGTTTGGCATTTGTTTGGTTGTGTTATGCTAGTACTGCACATAGTTTTGTTGCCAAAATTACTTCTCTATTAAGTAATGGTTAGTCATGATATTGAATATTGATATTCACTCTTGTTGTTTTTAGTTCTTTTTGTTTTTTTGTTTTTTTATTTTTTGGTCAATATCAATTAGATGGGTAAGAGAAAAGAGGTGGAAATTGAGTACTATTGAATGGCCTCTCCCAAGTACAGAGAACTTCTAACTTAATTGTGTGCTCATGTAATGGCTTTGGAAATTTGTTTTCCTTTACAGCATGGAATCTGGGATTTTTGAAACTGGAAATAGATGTCAAGTCATGCACAAGAGTAATCCAAGATCTTGAATTTTTGTTTTTTTTTTCTTCCTAGTGAAATTCAATGTGCCCTCTTCATGTATTCTTTCTTTTACTGATTAATTATTTCTGACCAACATTGATGTATTTTCGAATTTTGTAACCGTAGTTTGTTGGAGCTTGTAAGAAGCCTCCCGTGTTCTGCATCATCACTGAGTATTTGTCAGGGGGATCACTAAGGAAATACCTCCATCATCAGGAGCCACATTCTGTTCCACTCAACCTAGTTTTGAAATTAGCCCTCGACATTGCTCGCGGGATGCAGTATCTTCATTCGCAGGGGGTGCTACACAGAGATCTCAAATCGGAAAATTTACTTCTCGACGAAGACATGTGTGTCAAAGTAGCGGATTTTGGTATCTCATGCTTAGAGTCTCAGTGCGGAAGTGCCAAAGGGTTCACCGGCACATATCGCTGGATGGCCCCCGAGATGATCAAAGAGAAACATCACACAAAGAAAGTTGATGTTTACAGCTTTGGTATCGTTCTTTGGGAGCTTTTAACAGCATTGACGCCGTTCGAGAATATGACTCCTGAGCAGGCTGCATTTGCAGTGTCCCAGAAGGTATTTTCTGTTTTCATTCCTGATATATATATATATATATATTTCGGTAACATTGAGTTGAATACTTAGTTAAGATCATATTTTTTGTTACTAAAGAATGACTCTCTGGTGTACTTACTTAGATGATAAGGTCATTCTAGATGACTAATCAAGTTTTAGCTGACAAATGACTCTAACGATGCAAGAAACAAACAAATAAAATGGGAATAATAGATAGAGTAGAATTTCAAAGAAAATGGAAAATTTCTAAATTTGTATTGTCCAATTATACAACAATCACTATGGCAGAGGTGAGCTACAATCATCTATACCATTCTTTTGTGCTTTTACTAGTTCAGGTGGGCAATTGCTGCTTTGAACTTTCAACTCAGGTGAGGATACATTATGTATAAGATTACAGAGAATTCTAAAATCAATTTATATTCCTAAAATATTTAGGAATTACAAAGTAAAGATACCAAAATTATTTGCAATTTCAGTAGTCTCTAACTGCTTGATTATGCAAGTATATTAAACTGTCTCAAGGTTCTTCCATTTCTTCATCAACTGATTGTTTAATCTATCAAATTACTTCTTGAACGGTTTTCACTCTTTGAACGAAATTTTGTGCAGAATGCAAGACCTCCCTTGCCATCTGCATGTCCCATGGCATTCAGTCATTTAATTAACAGATGCTGGTCAAGTAATCCAGATAAGAGACCGCATTTTGATGAGATAGTTTCGATTCTGGAAGGTTATGCAGATGCTCACGAGCAGGATCCGGATTTTTTCTCGTCCTATAATCCGTCGGCGGGTTTTAATTTTCTCCGATGCTTGTCAAAGTTTTCATGCAATAGATCTTCTTCTTCTTTTTAAAGCCTAGGAGGTTTAAGTACTGTATGATGTCAAACTGTATCATATGAAATGTTGTCTTGGTCTTGGCCCTCTATAATTTGCTCAATTATATGATTATGAACTTTTGTTTTGTTCTCTTTACTTTATGTCTCTTCTTTGGAATATAGGGGAACAAAAGGAGTTCCTTTTAAGCGTGTTTTGATTGCTTATTGGATCTCCGTGCTTTTTTTGTTTGTGGCCAAATATGATATCAACTTTGAAACTTTTTTTGTCCAAGCAGAGGTTTTCAAGGTTGTAATTTCAATTAAAATAAAAGAAGAGCCAGATCCATTTCCTTTCTAATTTGCTCAATGCTTATGAGAATAAAGTTAAGTTACAACTTGCATGATTACATCCACTTGTAAAGTCAACAATTCAAGCGTCTTTTCTTATCCTCACCAGAAAGGAAAAAAAAAAATTTCTTCTTTTAACGAAGTAAAAAGAAGTCATTAGGCTATTATCCTTATTAGTGATGATAATTGTGCTTTTAGAATTTCTAGTTAAAAGATTAAGGTGGCTCTGATGCTGAAGAACTTATAGACATAATTTAGAACGAGTCCATTGTAATGCTAATGTGCAATGAAATTGCATAACTTGGAAAGGAGAAAAAACATTTATATATAAAATAAGACATAAATGTGTACACAAAGAAGACAGTTTGGCCGAGTGGTCTAAGGCGCCAGATTTAGGCTCTGGTCCGAAAGGGCGTGGGTTCAAATCCCACAGCTGTCAATTTCTGTCACTTTTTTTTCTCTTTTCTTTTCTTTTCTGATTTAATAATATTTTATACATTTTAAACTAAATAAATTTTTTCAATGAAGCTAAAAAAACTTTTTAAAATGATTAATTTAAATATATATGACTACAAGTTTTTGCATATTCAGAATTATGGTTAGTTACATAATTAGACCTTCTAACTTTTTGATTATTTTTCAATTTATTTCTATATTTTTAGAAACTATAAAGGTATTCTATTGAATTTAAAAAACTTATTTTAATTTTATCCCTTGTGTAATTTTTGAATGGAAAAAAAATTAGACAAAAGAACATAAATATCCTTAAATAGCTTATGTAAAAATGTTTCATACATTTAAAAACCTAAAGAGAACATCTAATTTCAAAAGACAAACAAAGATCTTGAATTTGGTGTGTGTGTGTTTTAATCTTTTTTTTTTATAAGTTCGGGTTTTATTTATTTTTTAAATGATCGTGAATTTGGTTTTATAAGATCTTAAATTTAGTGTGTGTGTTTGTGTTTTTTTTTATTGATTGAAAAGTTAATATTTGTGATGTTTGTTTCAGCAATCCAAACAAAAAAATTCAATTCGGATTGATGTTGAAGGTTCAAATTGATGTTTGGTAAAGAACTAAATGAGGATAACTTAAACTATTAACGATAGTCAATTCCTTGATTTTAGAATTGACCCTTTCTCCCTAAATTCACAATCCAAATTGCTTTCAACAGTGAAAATAATTCAAATTTTACTTTTTCTCTCTCCTCAACTTTAATCTTAAAAATAGCATAGTTAATTCGTTTCAATTTTGATTGAGATGATCTTTTTCAATGTATTCATATTGCAGAGAGGGACAAATTCCTCTCCATTTTGCATATTTTTTAATGTCATTTACAATGAGCTTTTATAAGATTTGTTGCAAAACTCTAATGACAATTCTCACTACTTTATCCAAACATAGTTCAAATTTTATTTCCAATTCAAATTACAATTTATTTGCATATCCAAACACTAGTTTGAATCACAATTTAAAATAAATCTTGCAATCCAAACAACGAACCAAACAAGGCTATTATAACTTAAAAAAATGCTAGTTTATCATTATGAAATGAAGGGACAAAGTTGGTGTTATAGTATAGTATTATAAAAGTACTAAACCGTTTGAGATCATGTATGTGTGCACATTATAAGGCATTTAAAAAAATAAAATAAAAAATTAGCATACCGGCGCTCAAATAGGCATTTGTGCCTAAACCCTAGTCTGACTGACTCGAGTCTTATGCGGGTCAAGCCTAGGCCAAATAGTGTAGGTCATGGGTTGGTACATTTAGGGTGTGTTTGTTTGAGTGGAAAGGAATGGAATGGAATTCTAGTTTGATGTTTGGTTGAATTTATAAGAAAAGAATGATCATTCAAAAGGAATAGTCATTCACTCATTTTGGGTGAATCATCATTCCTTCCTCATATGAGAGGAATTACCATTTTAAGTTCTTTTTATTTTTATTTTTTTTCCATAATTACCCTTCAATATTATAATATAATTAAAATATATTATATAGTAGTTATATCTTATAATATAATATATAATAAAAAATATTATAATATAATATAAATAATAATATAATAATTAATTTATAATATAATTATAAATTATAATATATTTATTTAATATTTTATAATAATATATAATATATTATAACATAATTATATCTTATAATATAATATATAATAATATTACAATATAATATAATATAGTTGTAATATTTTAACAAATAATACCATAATTATACTAATAATTCTAATATTATTATTTTATTATATAATATAATTATTTTTATTATATTAATAATATAATAATAATTAATATAATCTTATCATTCTAATGTTATTATCCGCACATGATGTATTAATTATAATATATTTATTGTATATAATATAATAATTATATATTATATTGTAATTATATATATATATATATATTATATTATAGTATAATATAATATAGTCGTAATTTTTAATTATCCACGGTTATTTAATAACAATTTAATAATATTGTTATATTATATATCATAATTATATAATAATAATTTTATTATATTATATTACATTTTATATATTATATTGATAGATAAAATATTAGTGTTATATATAGTATAAGGGTAAGTTTATCAACATAAAAATATTCGTGTTCCATTCTAGAGAATTCTTAAAATTACAACCAAACAAATGAATCAACTTTCTTTTACATTCCATTCTCATTATCATTCTCATTCATATTCCCATTTTCATTTTTCCACTGTAACTAAACACATCCTTAGTCCAACTTAAAATTGGAGTTCTACATACATTAGCCCTTCTTTATTTTGGCTATTCAGATCATTTAGCCCACAACTCAGACCCTTCATATCAGAATTTACCCTGCTCCTTGAATTCAACCATCTGAATCATGGAGCTACAATGAAAAGCAACTCCAAATCCGAACAAAAATCCTGATGCTTCAAATATCGACGGAAAAAAGGGAGTCGTTAATGATTATACTATTTTAAAGATTTTTTAATTAATGATTATATATATATATGAATGGTCTTTAGTCCGGCAGTAACTATAATTTACCTAACTCCTCCGGTAAGTGATTTTCAGTCGTTCGATGGAAATGGACGGACGAGATTTATCACATCCTTGCAGAAGCATTCGTAGGTGCTAGCTTCTGTACACTGCAAGTGGCAGCTTTTTATTGGCCATGTGTTTAACGAAGAGAAAAGGGTGAAGGAAGAGTGAGGTTGGTGGCCACGTGTATATGTGAGAGACAAGTGATGATGTGAGAGACAAAGGAGATGGCTGCAGGGAAAAAATATATTAAAAAAATGTGGAACCCAATTAAAAAAAAGAGCTCTTTCTCTGGACAAAATAAAGAGAGGCTTAATTAGTAAAAAAAAAAGTGTGAGGCTTAATCGTTTATGGTGGGGGCAAGTGATTAGTAAAAGTAGCAGCTTTTACAGTTTTACAGTAGGCAAAAGAGCCATTCATACCACCTCAAGCTCTGAAATTAAATTGCAAGTTTAACAAAAGTGACTGAGTAGGTTTATTGAAAACACAGGCGAGCACTACTAGTGAGCTAACAATTGATGTTGGTGCCAGTTTCCCCAATGCTAAGGTTGCCATCTTTGAAAGCGAGTTCAAGACAATAGTTGCCTGCCGATATATGCGTGATTATGTGGATGGTGGACAACTTTAAATAGGAGAATTGCTCATTGACTATTTATGAGAAGACGTTTGTCCCCACAGCGAAGTTGTTTGGTAAAATTATGGGTTTGTTTGATGGGGAGGATGACTTCGAACAGCAAGACACCGATGAGGAAGTGATTAATTAGAAAAAACAAATCAATAACATGAAACACAACAAATAAACCAATATACATATTAAGGATGAGTCTCTAATCCGGCACATCAATTTTACCTGACTGATTCGCTCAAAAATTGTGGCCATCAGATTTATACCTTTTGTACTTTTTACTTACTTGTTATCTACTATTTCTCGTACTTAAGGCTTAAGAAAAAACCCAGTTTAATTTGTGTTTCTATTTATGTCCTTTACCTTTCGTATTTTTTACTTATTTGTTATCTACTATTTTCTCTTACTTAGGGCTTAAGAAAAAAAACGATTTTGTGTTTCCATTTATGTTATTTACCTTTTGTACTTTTTATTTACGTGTTATATACTAGTTTTGTGTTTCTATTTATGTCCTTTACCTTTCGTATTTTTTACTTATTTGTTATCTACTATTTTCTCTTACTTAGGGCTTAAGAAAAAAAACGATTTTGTGTTTCCATTTATGTTATTTACCTTTTGTACTTTTTACTTATTTATTATCTATTGTTTTCTCTTACTTAGAGCTTAAAAAAAGTGGTCAAATTAAATAATATTTGAATTACGTTCTGAACATGGCTTCTAAATCTACAAAACTCACCCCATCAAAATAAGCTGTGCGGTCTAAATGTTAAGAAAAATAATAGAGTATGTCGATTAGTTAGAACTTATTTGTTTACATCATAAAATTATTTTTCTAATAGACAATAAATATAATAGTCAAATTCATGCAATTGCATGTGCCTACTTTTACTAGTTTCTTAAAAAAAATGAAAATATTTTAAGACATTAAAATATTTAAAGGAAAATAATAAAATAAAAAGTTCATGATTTTTTTTTTCTAGATTTATTAGATTTTGATTAAGTAAAAGAGTACTAAGGTCATTTTACATCTTAAAAATCAACTTCAGAGTATCAAGAATATGTTTTTAAAAACGTTGAGGTATCATTTTAATATTATCAAGAACACAAGATACGAAAAGCATATTTCGCTATATATATTGTCGCTTACGTTCATTAACATGAAATACAACAAATCAGCCAATATACATATTTTTATGCTATGTGTTCACTTAATTGCTATAAAAAAAATACATGTTTCGAAGATTAATATACATTGTCGTTTCTTATAATTTAACATATACATCTTTACATATAAATATACACACCTTACATATAAATATACACGAAAACGGCAGAATTATATATCTGCCGTTTTAATCCGGCAAATAGTGAGTGCCGGATTAAAGACCTTGCCTATATATATATATATATTATCATACTATTAGCATTCTTTCTTTAATTTAATAATTTATTTTTAATTACATTAATTTTTATTCACATTATTATATAATTATTTTTCTTAGTGTTCAGACTTCAAATATATGCTACCTAAACACCAATTCACAGTTCGAATCCATGTTTTTAAAAAGTTTCCAAACACCAATTCAAATTATATTTCCAGTTTGAATTTACAATTCATTTGCATACCAAAATAATAGTTCGGATCACAATTTGAATCACCACAGTTCAAATTCTATAATTTTAATAAAAAAAAAGTTCAAATTTCCACAGTTTGAGTTGTTAACCAAACAAAGCCTTAAACATTTGCATATAAAAAGGATATTTTACACATTTACTCCTAAATTTATATGACTTTAGTAATTTACCTCTTGAATTTTTAATTTTGACAAGTTGTCACTTCAACTTGTAAAATTGTTATGATATGCCATGTTTTGACGATGATTATATTAAATTAGTGTCGAAAAAACACGTTTAATGAAAAATTCAAACATTTTAATTCAAATGTAATAAAAATCTTTCAATTTCTCAATTTTTAATCCCTTTAATTTAATAAATAAATTTGAACAAATCTGGTAATAAGACATACTACAACAATTTTATAAGTTCCGACGGTTAATTGTCAAAAATAATAGTTTAAGAGGCCATTTACTAAACTGTGGAGTTATGTTAAAATCTCTAAAGAAAAAAATAATAAGCAAAAGGGGGAGGCAATTGTGTTAAAATCCTTAAGAAAAAAATAATAAGCATTTGCATAATAGTAGGGACAAAAATAATACTTTATCTTAAAAAGAAGGGTATATTGGGTATTTTACTATGTAGCCCTGGTCAGTTGCCTCAAACACTCGAATTTCCCACCGAGCCCGGCCGCCTCACCCTCACTTCTTCTTCTTTTTCTCATTAGTCATCTCCTCGTTGGCACATCGGCCTCTTGAACCAGCATCGGCGTCAGTGCACTCTACACAGGTTTTTTTGTTTTCCTCTGTTGGCTCTGTTCGTTTCTTTCCCATTGCTTAAAACCCTAATCTGTTTGTGTAGTGTATCAGGAGAAAACAAAAAAAGGAAGATAATTTCATGTTAGTAGTTAATAATCAAAGGAGCGTAATTTCTACGTGGAACTTAATTTTTCGTTGTTGTTGTTGTTGTTGTTGTTGTTTCTGTTCATGTTCTTCGATTATAGATAGCTTAGCTAGTATAAGGAATTCATGTTTACTGGTGTTCTCGTTCATACATATGGCCATATTGTATAATGTATATGAATAGCTGAACATCTTATGGAGAGGTTATATGAATATTTTGGCAGATTAGGGGGGTGAGAATGGAGGAGGAACGTGAGGAGGAGAAGAAGACATTTAGAGAACTGGGGGTGCGCGAAGAATTGGCGGTCGCTTGCGATAAATTGGGTTGGAGAAACGCCTCCAAGATACAGGCTGAAGCCATCCCTCATGCACTTGATGGTTTGCTCTCTCACTTTGTTGAGATTCGTGTTTGATTTTATCCCAACTGTGTTCTTTATGTTTCGGTTTTCTCGGCAATCTGCATTTGAAACCATGTTACTGTTGTCTAGTACTAGACTTCGAAAATGTGCCTCTGCCACTTTCTAGTTGAATTGAGAACTTTTTGTAACGTAACTAGTCTGATTGAGTGAAAATTTTGATATTTTTTGGACATTTGTCGCATGTCTTATATTTTGCGGTCAATTAGTTGTCTTCTAGTTTTGATCTTGTTGGGGAATCTTTTTTTGGTGTTTTCAAATTTGCGGGCATGTCATTTTGCTTCTCCATTGTTATCATTTTGGATCACTAGTAACACTTTGGTTGGAGTGATGGTAATTGAGACTCTAGTTTGTTTGTTTGTTTTTCTTTTAGTGATAATTAATGATAATACGTTTATTTTCTAATTAGCTAATTTGTTGTTCCTGGCCTTTGCTTTAGGATTTACAAAAAGTATTTCTTAGATATAAATTATATGTTGGCAACAAATGTAGTCTATAATGTTATAACTACAACTGGTTGTTCGGGAGTTTCTAAAAGTTGAATTGATATTATAGGTAAGGACCTGATCGGACTTGCGCAAACGGGCTCGGGTAAAACTGGAGCTTTTGCTCTTCCCATATTGCAAGCCCTTTTAGATTCTCCTCAAGCATTCTTTGCTTGTGTGCTGTCTCCAACAAGGTTTGGTTTCTTGTCGTGCAAGGTTTTGATTTTTCTGTAGTTCTATTTCTCTTTTTTCTACCATTTATTTATTTTCCTATTACTTCAGAGAGCTTGCAATTCAGATTGGCGAGCAGTTTGAAGCTTTAGGGTCTGAAATTGGCGTTAGGTGTGCAGTGGTGAGTCTTTTGTACAAAGGGAGTTTGCTTGATAGATGACCTACCGCATCTTTGGCATTATTATTGGCTCCAGAGGATCTAAGTTGTATGATTAGATTTCTGTTAAGTTCGGAAAGCACAAATGTGTAGAACTCTACTTTTTTTTTATTTTTTATTTTTATCTCATTATGCTAAAGCATCTGTTTATGCTATATTTTGAGGCAGTTACGTGGAAGGTTGTTTATTTTATTCTTGAATCTTGAGCTTTTTGCTTAGTATCTTTACCTAATCTTCTGTAGCTTGTTGGAGGGGTGGACATAGTGCAACAATCTCTTAACCTTGCAAAGCGGCCACACATCATTGTAAGTTTTCAGTTTCACTAGAATGACGACTTTAGATGTCCTTAACCATTTAATTAGGATTTAAAATTGTTATAAATGAGTTTAACATGTACTATTGCTCGTGTTGACTTTAGAATGATTTTATGAACTCAATGAAGTCCTAAAAACTATAATGGTTTGCAGTGTAACTTAATTTTGTTTTTGGTCCTTTTGTTTTGGTTAAGCTTTGTTGTGGATGAAGCAAAAAGGATAGATTGATAGTAGTATTGCTGGTCCTTTTGTTTTGGTTAAGCTTTGTTGTGGAAAAAGCAAAAAGGATAGATTGATAGTAGTATTGCGTCTTCCATAAATATTTGAATAATGACTATCTAGCCTTCAAGGTTTATGGTTTAAATATTTGACCTTTCCGTTAAGAACAGGGGAACTAGTCTATATAGATTTAGAAGTAAGTTAATATTTGTAAAATGATATTTTAACTTCATTATCACGCAAAGAAAAATATCATAAGGTCTTTAATGGTCATTCTTCTGATTTGACTCGTGGAATGGTACAGTAAGAGTGTATCTTTTGGCTATCTACTTTGGCTGAACTTAACCCCCTCTAGTTATGGCCCATTTGGTTATTATGGGTTATCTATCGTTTATGACTACAACTTTCTTCATTGGACACTTTTTATTTACCAGAGTTCACTTAATTTTATATGCTCATATTTTATTTTTAGGTTTGTACACCTGGACGCCTAATGGATCACTTAAACAACACAAAGGGTTTTTCTCTTCGCACATTGAAGTATCTGGTATGAGTTATTATATTGTGTATTTCATCTATGCAACTATCATATCCTTTTGTTGTCTTAAAGAATTGGCCTTCTTATTGAATTATGGATTATGTGTGTGCATGTGTGTATTTATATTTATATATCTATCAATCTATCTATCAAAACATGATGCTTCTACGGCATCCATAGAGGGATGTAGTTTGCTTGAAAAATTGGTACTGCTGCCGTATGGGACTTGCTATTGCTAGTTACATGTTTATCTTAGACCTTTTTCCCCATTGTTTATATCGTTGTCATCAATTTCGAGCAGGTTCTGGATGAGGCAGACAGGTTGCTAAACGAGGAATTTGAGAAATCACTTGATGAAATTCTGAATGTTATCCCTCGTGATCGTAAAACATATTTATTTTCTGCTACTATGACAAAAAAGGTAATACATACTTCCCAAGCTGCTGTGTACAAGCTCTAATACTTCACATTACCGGATGGTTGTTGTTTTGAACATTAATTGCTTGTTAGAAAGGGTCTGTTGCGTTGTTCATCATTTTTAATTTTTTAAAATAAGAATATGTTTCACCTGCTTAAGAACATGTAATATCTTCCTGACGTGCACTCTTGGGTTCTAGATATAAAAAGTGAGCTATGAATTTCTGAACTTATGAGTTTCTGAACTTATATGTTGTCAACATGTTTATAGAATTGACCAAGTTTTGCTTGTTACTATTCAGGTCCGGAAGCTCCAAAGGGCTTGTCTAAGGAATCCTGTAAAGGTGCAAATTTAATACTTCTGCATCAAATTTCTCTTTTACTAGTTGGAAGCACGTGAAATTAGATTAGGATTTTTGAATTTAAATTACATAGTTTTCTTGTAGGATATATTTTATTTTTAATATTTGATTTTGAATTTAGTTTTATATTTATCTTTTGGATTATTTTGAATATTTAAATTATTTAGTTGAGTTTATTTTTAGATTTCTATAAATAGCTTGGTGATTGTAATTCCAATTCAGAGAGTTGATTAATAAATGAATATTGAGTTTATAGTTTCCTCCTCTTGAGTTCTTATTCTCTATCTCTCTTCTACTCTGTTTCTCCCCTTGATTATGTTCTTCTCTCAAATTCCCTCTCTTTTCTCTGATTCTATCCCGGTCCTGCATCACTTGTGTAGTTAGTCTGTTGAATGTTTTTAGATATGTGGATATAAAATTCTCTTTAACAGTGAGTTGCAACCTGAGTCGGGCATAGTGGTGGGTAGTTGGATTATAAAGTGAGTTTACAGGCCCTTGGACATTCTTACATACATTTAAAAGGGTGACCAGACGAAGTATACTTAAAACAGAATATGAACATCATACCAAACACTCGTTCAATCAATTAATCCCACCCTGAAAGCCACTGAAATGTGCATCGTACCCTCACTTAAATGGCACGTGGGTGGCATGCGATCTATTCCTTTCCAATTTTAAGGCAAATATAACAGGAGGATTAATTTTGCCACACTAAAATTGTTCGGATCAGTTTTTAGACGTTTTAAACATCAAGGAGAAAAGCGGAATTTGGTGTAAAGTTTGGGGGACCATCTTTTGGATTATTTAAAAAAAAAATCAAAACAAAAGGACCAAAAAGAAAAGAAAAAAAAAGAAAGTAAGAAATAAGGTGTTCAACCAAAACTAGCATGGTTGAAAACAGTAAGAGCAATTCACTCTCATTATACACAGATAACTTTGACCTCACTTGTAATGGTTGTGTCTTATTATTTATTTATTTTCAGATTGAGGCAGCATCCAAGTATTCAACAGTTGACACTCTAAAACAGGAGTATCGCTTTTTGCCTGCTAAACATAAGGTCTTTCCTAATCTTTTTGTTACACTACTTTGAAAATTTATAGAAATGACTGGACTCATACTGATATATGCCACCAATGCTTAATTTATCTATTGTGTACAAATTTGCTTTCCTCTGCCACAGGATTGCTATCTTGTTTATATTCTTACTGCACGTCCCGATTCCACATCAATGGTATTCACCCGTACATGCGATGCAACCCGCTTTCTGGCTTTGGTTCTTTCAAATCTTGGCTTTAAGGCTATCCCAATTAGCGGTCATATGAGCCAGGTATGTTTTTATTTACCACATCAATGGTAGTGTAGGTTTGAAATAATCTTTGCTTTCAATATTTGTCCTCCTTGGAAATTCTAATACTTTTGATTGGAATTTTTCTGACAGGCAAAAAGACTAGGAGCTTTAAATCTGTTCAAGTCTGGACAGTATAATATACTTGTGTGTACTGATGTGGCAAGTAGGGGGCTGGATATCCCATCTGTAGATATGGTCATTAATTACGATATCCCCACAAACTCCAAGGTCAGTCTTGTCTATTTTGTATCGCAATTTTATCTAGTCTTCGACTTATTGATTCTCTGCTTAGTCTGCTATAGTTGACAAGTGCTGGTGTTCTGAATCATTCCCCCATTCTTTTTTCTTCTCTTTCTCTCTCATAAATCTAGTTTTTCATCTCTGCGTTGATATAAGATGAGATAATTCAAGAGATGAAATTTAGGTATTGCTAAACCATCTTATAGATGTACCTCTATAGGACACTCACCGAAGAAATGACTTGTTCACCAAGACAATTCAATTGATAGTAGGTGAAATTCTTGTTTCCCAGCGTTCTTGTGGTATTGTTTCTTGATTTGTTCTCACTTTTTGATTTTTACTTTATCATATTCAGAACCGCCTAGTGTGTTACAACGGATATTTCGAATTATGTACCCTGACATGCTATATCATGTGTTTAGTTTTAGTTACTTATGCTGTTATGCGGAATTGCAGATTTTTACCATCTTTTTTTTTTTTTGAAATGATAAAAATAAAAATTTGTTCGGAGAATTGCGCAAATTTGTTTTAGTAGTCGTTCATTCTGTTATGCACTTTACTATACTAACTACAAGTGGGCCACAGGATTATATACATCGCGTGGGAAGAACTGCTCGGGCTGGTCGATCTGGGGTTGCAATCTCCCTTGTGAATCAATACGAATTGGAGTGGTTTTTGCAGATTGAGAAGCTCATTGGTAGGCATGAATTCTGTACTTGTGTCTTCGGAGGTATCAAAGTAATATTTCGGTGACTCATAAAATTTTTGACGTTTCAGAGAAAAAGCTACCCGAGTATCCTGTTGAAGAAGAGGAAGTCTTGATACTGTCGGAGCGTGTAGCAGATGCCAAAAGAATAGCGCAAGGGGTAATAAATTGGTTCATGTGTTGCAAATATTTTTGTGGAATGTGTTTAACATGTGGAGTTTTCTCAAATATTAACCTGCCGAAATATTTGATATCTTTCGAAAATTAACTGCCCAAATATTTGACATCTGTAGAAAATCAAAGATGGTGTTTTTGGCAAGAAGAGGAAGAAGGGAGATGAAGACTATTTGCAGGAAGACGTTGAGAAGTATTTTGGCATCAAGGATAAGAAGTTCTCAAAGAAGCCGAAAAGACGATAAGTAATTTTTTTATCAATCAGCAACTTTTGCTCAGAAAATCTTCAAGCTTTCTTTTCCCCCAACAGACAGACAATCGGCGGTGCGAAGGCTTGTTGAGGGAAGTTGAGCATTTTAATGATGAGTGGTGTTAGACAATATTGTCAAATTTTTGTAGTTAGCTCTTTTAGTGATGATTGATAAGTCAATAGTTATTTTCTTTACTCAACGATTTTTGTTGTTGTTGTTGTTGGAAATATCATTTGTACCCAACGGGAGTCAATACTATGACTATCTTACACTTACACAGGACTGAAATGTTTTTATTTTTAGGGTGACCGAAATGGTATTTCGGTTGTCTTTTTATATAATTAAATAATCGTCGACTTAAACAATATGAATTCAAACCATAGTACAAGTAAATTTGACATTTATTTCCTTTAATCGGTTATCCATACAAGGATAACAAAATAAGTGCACATCCTGGAGTTGTAGTAATAGTTAATAGCTCACCATGCAATGAAAAAGCCTTTAACTGGTGTAATAAAAAAAAATAAAGTAAAATAAAACACCTCTCAAATTTAGAAAAGGTTAACCAGTAATCTGTAATAGAGAGAAACATAAGAAAAGTAAAAAGTGGGTTCTTAAAAATTTTTCCCCTTTTTGGAAAGCAAAAGTAGGTTCCTTGTTAGCTTATCTAATACCATATCATTTAAACTTTCACTTAGAAAAATAAATAAACAAGCAATATACAAGTAAACAACCCAACCAATAGGAATATGTGATGATCGTTGTCCTCATATGAGGGTCATTTCTCATTGTTTCTTTTCTAACATTTCTCTTTATATTGTGGTTTTAGTGTAGTTCTTAGGCTGGCTCTGGCTGTCCAATAAAGGTAATCTCAACAACCCTTATTATGAAATCACTTTAACCTTCAAAGCCATTTAATGTCCGGATATTTCAGAATTAGTTGGTTTTAAAGGCTTACCTAGTAGGTTGACATTACTCATGAAAAAAGATTGTGGGAAATTAAGGTTATTAGGATAAACCATTTTAAATAGATCAACCATTGTCTCTCTTTAAATGCAATTAACATTAGTAGAAGTACAATACATTCTTTTTATTATTATTATTATTATTATTATTATTATTCTATGTCCATCCCTAATATTAACCATGGTAAAAAGAAAGGAACTTCTTCAGTAGTCTGTCTTACTGATAATTTTAATTTTTGACTGTTAGATCTGGTCAAAATCACATCAAATTAAAAAAATATGCAAAATAAATATATTCTGATATAGATCGGACTACTAAAAAATAAGAGACTATAGACAGTCTATTTTTACAAAGACTACCAGAGCAAGTCTCTAAAAAGAAACAGTTTTAGCTATTTAAAAATGTTGTTGGTTATAAAAAACATAAAAAAAAAATTACTGTCAAAATTGTGGATTTCTATTATTTAATAACTAATTTGTTTTTTTTTATTTATTGGAAAAGTCTATGGCAGGGGCGATACTTTTCCTTACTAATAAGATGTGTAATAAAGACCATTAGATCATAATTGGCTCATTCATTTTACTTATTTAAATTTTGTTATAGTAAAAAATTCTCATAAAACTATTGTAACTATATTGCACATAATTTCACCTTGCTCAACGCCTTACTTTGATTTGAAACTAATTTAACAAATGGATTTTAATCTAACACATGGCGACACGATCCCTTCTATCCTTCCTCGGCACGATCTGGAGCGCCGCAGAGCTGGGCTCGCCGTAGTGGGAGCTACGGTGATTGATTATTGGAAGAACATAATATTGTTTTTTCATTTTTTTTTATTGTGTTTAGGCTGGATTTGGTGGCTAGCAAAGACTTTTCCTTTTCTTTTACATTTAATAACCAAAATTTGGATTGCATATGCATTCCAAAATTTGGCATCTACCAAAGTCTTACTCCATACATATGGGGCATGGCAATGATTAATGCAAGATGTACCACGTTGAATTGATCCCTCATAAATGTTGTTGCAGAGAACTATCAACTGCCAAGAAAAGAATTTTTTTTTTTTTTTTTTAGAGTTTCTCTAATTGTCAGAAAAATAAAACTATCAGTAAAATTTTAATCATTTTTAACCGTTAAATTTGTATAAAAACTGTCTGTTTTATATATTTTTTTAATCTCATTTAATGATAAAAAATTGACCCTACCATTAAAACGCCTACCAAAAACAATCTATTTTTTTCCTTATCATAAGCTATTAGTATGTTTGCCTCCGTGAAAGCCAATGCTTTTAGGAAATTCTAACTTTATTTAATGGTCTAAGTCCTACGTAGGGGATCATATGTTCATTTTGCAACTTAAGTCTTAATTTGAGTTATGATTTAAATTATATTTATGAGAAAAAAATTTTCAATAAAAAAATTAAATTTAAATTTTTATTAAAAAAATATTAAATAATAAAATTTAAGTTGTGATTTGAATTTTAAATTTTTTTTTAATTTGGGGGTAATACGTTTCTTTTTAGTATCATTGATTACAACACCAGTCTAACCTCGAGAATTGCAAACTCACTTGCACCAATAGTTATTCAAAAAGCTATGCATCTTTAGGTTCCTAACTGTCTCTTTTTGAAGATGTTATTGGCCACTTACTTCCCAAAGCCAACTTGCTTTATGATCCATTCATTTCTCCAATTCAGTCAAAAATTCCTTTTTAAACTTACTATAAATTTGTAGGTGTGGAGTTTCTGTCACTTATGCTATGCATGTGATAGCATCATAGCAGCACTTTAAACATTGAGATTAGCATTTTTCATCATTATAATATTTTTCCATATAATATCTTAAATCCGACATCCGGATCAATTAAATAAATGTAATTTTTTATTATATTTTGTGTAATATTATTTATTCATGTGTGTAACACTCCTTTCTGTTCAAATGTAATATTCAATCTTAAACTTTGCCGACATAGATTTCCATACATTCTAAGTGATCCTAAACATGCATAGAATTCATATTTTCCACTTATCATCTTATAATTTGTCAGTATCAATTTGGCAAGCATTTTTCAACACACTGGGAAGTTTTTATACCAAATGCTTAAAGGCAGGGTAAAAGAAACTTAGAATTCTCATGAAAATTGTATAGAAGGGATAAGGTCAAGGAGAAATACAGTGTTCATAATTGCTTCATGTGCTGTGCTCTGTTACATTAAATGCACTGTTCTCCACTGGAGCCCAAAAATATAGGAGTACCACCTCCATTAGCATTGCCCTTCCACAAAAAAGATCACACAATAAAATTGTGCCCCCAAAAATAAAAAATGAAATAAAAAGATATCAGTAATACGTTAGGAAAAAATATCCTACTGATATTATATTACTCTTCTATTATTAGATCATATTAGATCTATAATAGATAAAAATAATATGAAAACTGAACGAAACCTGTCAATACTAATTTTATCCCCCGAACATTATTATATATGATATATGTTAAATTTTGGACATTATTATATATGATAAAATATGATTTAAGTAAAGAGAATGGCAAAATACTATTATGGTTTGTGGATTTGGTTAAATTGGTTCTAGATTATCACATGTACTTGTCTTACAAACACATTGACCAACTTCACGATTAAGATTAGAAGAAGATGAGTTACTTCAAGAGTGTGACCTTTCGTCCACATGAACCTACAATCCCACCCAAAATATACTCAAGTTGAACAAGAATTTCTCTATAAATAACAAGTCAATTACAGCTCTTCAAAGGGTATATATGTCATGCCATGCAAAAATGACGACTTTTTGTGCCACGTGTCAAATGTGTATTGGACAGAAAGTGGGTTTAAAAAACTCATTAGAAAACAAAATGATAATAATAATAAATAAAATAGGGGGGGGTCAAATCGGCAGTTGCAGGCCGAGAGCCGGTGGGGGAGAAGTCTTCTTCTCCAATCCCATCTGACATTCCAAATCTGCAGCTTTCATTTGCCGTTTTTCCAATTCCATTTTACCATTTTACCATTTTACCCCTGGCATAATTTCTTTTTTTAATAATCTCCTCCCCTCTCTCCTGTCTCCTTCATTTCTAGCTAATTTTCCACACACCCCACCAAAAAAATAAAAAAATATTCACAGATTGTTTGTTCCCTTTTATTATACATATTTATGGTATAAATATGTGCCTTTGAATGTCACCCGCAGAACAAAAAACCCTTCCTCGGACCTCTCTCTTCATAGCTTCTTGTTAAGGTATGTTTTCCCACTTCCTATGTTTTTCGTTTTTGTTTTTTGTTTTTTGTTTTTTTTTGTCCGTTTGTTATGTTTTGAGAGGTCAAATGCATAACACATCTCCTTTTTGTCTTCTTATTGTTCATGGGTTTGTTATAATTTGGTGATATTCATTATGGGTTTGTGTTTATAATTCATTCTCTAGATGTTTTATAGCAGGGCTCGTTTCAGGTTGTGATTTTGACTGTTTCATATAAATATGATAGTTGTCAGTTAAACTTGCCTGTGAAGATCTCATGAGAAAAACTTCTACTTTATTGGGTTCATTTTCTTCTTTACAATTGTTGATTACTTTCATTTCTTAAAGCTTATCGACTGCTTGCAAATCTGTCAACAAATTTATTTATTTATTTATTTTTTAAGAGCAATCTTTGATGTGGTCATTGCTTCAGCTTTCTGTTAATGTTTTTGTTCTCTCTGTCATGTTAAAGTTTGATTTTTACTGTACTATTGAAGTTTCATAGATTACATCTTGTTCTTATTTAGATGTTTTGTTACAAGTTTTTGATTTGTGTATGCTTTCTATTTGAAACATTGTTGCAGTTAAATTATTCGGTTTTTCGGTGATTTTGTTAATCTGGGTGGATAGAGATGCCTGGAATAGTTATGGATGAAATAAGTGAAGATGGGGTAGTGAATGTAATGAATGGAAACTCTCCACCTCCTAAGGAAAATTTAGGTGTAAATACTTCCCCAAAGAGTAATTCGAGTCCGAAAAGCCCTCGGAACACAGGTGTTGGTCTCCCGAGTGGTGATGGGGTTGTCATTGACACCTCAATTGAGCAGCTTTATGAGAATGTGTGTGATATGCAAAGTTCTGATCAATCACCCTCGCGGCGTAGCTATGGATCTGATGGCGAAGAGTCTAGGATTGACTCGGAGTTGCGCCATCTTGTTGGTGGAGAGATGAGGGAGGTGGAGATAATGGAAGAAGAGGTGCTGGGGAAGCCGGCGGATGGTTCTCGTAGTGATTCGGATTCTAGAAGGGGAAGTTCATCTACGGGTAAAAGATCAGGAAAGAAGGGGAGGACTCAATCCGCAAGCAAGAAATCGGTTTCTCCAGTTGACTCGAAGAAAGCTTCTCATGCGGTGTTGGAAACTGAAACATCACCAAAATCTAGTTCTAAAGGAAAAACTACTCCTGAGAAGCCTCCGCTTGACAGGCGAAGCGACAAGAATCCAAGGAAACTGAATTCTGGAGCCAGTCTTGGGAAGAAAGTAAGAAATTCGCCTTTTGGTGGGTCAAAGTTGCAGAATGGAACTGAGGATCCGAATGAGTCGGCCTTGGATAATCCAGATCTGGGCCCCTTTTTGCTTAAGCAGGCAAGGCAATTAGTCTCTTCTGGAGACAATCTACATAAAGCCCTTGACTTTGCTCTTCGAGCTGCAAAATCATTTGAAATATGTGCAAAAGGAAAGCCCAGTTTGGAACTAGTCATGTGTTTACATGTTACAGCCGCAATATACTGTAACTTGGGTCAGTATAGCGAGGCGGTTCCTGTTCTTGAGCATTCGATTGAGATTCCATCAATCGAGGAAGGCCAAGGGCACGCTCTTGCTAAATTTGCTGGTCATATGCAGTTAGGTGATACTTATGCGATGCTGGGAATGCTTGAGAATTCGCTAACGTGCTACACAACGGGGTTGGAAATTCAAAGACAAGTTTTGGGAGAAACAGACCCGAGAGTTGGTGAGACGTGTAGGTACTTGGCTGAAGCTCATGTTCAAGCATTACAATTTGACGAAGCAGAGAAGCTCTGCCAGATGGCTCTCAACATTCATAGAGAAAATGGCTCCCCTGCTTCTCTTGAAGAAGCGGCGGATAGGAGGTTGATGGGTCTTATTTGCGAGACAAAGGGAGATCATGAAGCTGCTCTTGAGCATCTTGTTTTGGCCAGCATGGCGATGGTGGCAAATGAGCAGGAAATCGAGGTGGCTGCTGTTGATTGCAGCATTGGAGACACATACTTATCTATGTCGCGGTACGACGAGGCTATTTTTGCTTATCAGAAAGCACTCACTGTGTTCAAGACCACCAAGGGAGAGAACCATCCATCTGTCGGCTCTGTCTTTGTCAGACTGGCTGAATTATACAACAGAACGGGCAAAATAAGGGAATCAAAATCATACTGTGAGAATGCCCTTCGCATTTATGAAAAGCCCGTGCCTGGTTTTCCTGCAGAGGAGATAGCAAGTGGGCTGACTGATGTTTCTGCTATCTATGAATCGATGAACGAGATTGAGCAGGCTCTCAAGTTGTTGGAGAAGGCATTGAAGATATACAATGATGCTCCTGGTCAGCAAAGCACAATAGCTGGAATTGAAGCACAGATGGGGGTCATGCACTATATGTTGGGAAATTATTCTGAATCTTACAACTCTTTCAAGAACGCTGTTTCAAAACTCCGTGCAAGTGGGGAGAAGAAATCCGCCTTCTTTGGCATTGCTCTTAACCAAATGGGGCTCGCTTGCGTACAGCGCTATGCTATAAACGAGGCTGCAGAGCTATTTGAAGAAGCCAGAAGTATTTTGGAACAAGAGTGTGGGCCATATCACCCCGATACACTCGGGGTGTATAGCAATCTTGCCGGCACCTACGATGCAGTTGGAAGGTATCTGCGCTAAATCTGTCTTAATTTTTTTTTTCCATCAGTTTGTTATTTTCTCATACATGATGGTTGGTTTATGCTTAAATTTTTTGTCCTGTTTCTGCAAGTAAAAACTGGTTGTTTGTGAACCCTACAACTTAAGACGCTTTTTTTTGTTGTTGTTGTTGTTGTTGTAATCTGTGAAGTCCTTGTGGTTGAATTTAGATGAAATTTCAGATTTATGGATTCTAAATAGACTATAAGAAATGTCACAAGTCAATTGATTTATATTTTTGTTTGCGTCTCTTGATTTCTCACTCAGGTTGGATGATGCAATTGAACTCTTGGAATATGTTGTTGGCATGAGGGAGGAGAAATTGGGAACTGCAAATCCCGATGTGGACGACGAGAAAAGAAGGTTGGCCGAGTTGCTGAAAGAAGCAGGCAGAGTTCGGAGCAGAAAAGCCAGATCGCTCGAAACCCTCCTTGATGCAAACACGCATGGTTTAACGAACAACGGCATCAAGGTGTGATGGATAATAAGATGTGCATGAACAAATTTTTGTATTATGTAACATATTTAACGTTGGGGAAAGAAGACACCAAAAAAGAAAAACCAAACATGAAGAAACAGTAAAACACAAACCAAAAGAAGGAAAAGATTTAGTTTATGCTCATTTTATTAAGGGGGTGAATGAAATAACCTCAAGGCCGGGTTTTGATTTTATCATTTATTTATACTGGTACTGGCATATATTATTTTGTGTGTCACCAAGTGATTGTGCTAAACTTGGATGGCACTTCCACTATTTGTGTATTTAACTATTCAAAAATCATAGATTGTTAATACTGTTATTGACAGGAAGATTTGCTTAGATAGTATGCTCTTGAATATAAGTTTGTCATTTTTGTGTTAGGCTTTGAGTGGAATTCTAATGTCTCTTTACTGTTAGGATTTTTATGGTAGGACTTTTAAATGAGTTATCGGTAGTCTTTTGTTTTTAAACATCAAATATGAATCAGAAACTGTCTGTATTACATATTTTAATGTGATTTTGACTAGATACAACGATAAAAAACAGAAACTATGGGTGCTGTAGAAGGACCCTTACTTTTATTGGACTCAAAAGTGAGTTGTTTTGCTATTGTCCATTGACAGCCACGTTAAGAGTAAATCTCATAACTATCATTACATTCTATTATTTTTAGACGTACATGCTTTCTATTTTCACAGCCATTGGATGATGAAAGAAACGCCCTGAACCGTTGAATATTTTGTCATGTGTCATTCGGACAAGCGTTTTAATAGACCAGATCATTTCTAAGCCTCATTCGACGGCTGAGATTCGAGGAGCATGTAATGTACATCTAAAAAGCATATCATAGATCAAGATCCATGAAAATGAAAGTAGCGGTGACCCAGTTACAGGCCAATAATTCAATGATCTATAATTGGAAGATTGCACATTCGGGTGGAAATTTGCTGTCTGTTCTATTTTTTGTATTTTAAATCTCATACAAATCATAAGGACCACAAGAGCCAAAATTCTATCTGATTATTATCATTATCCTTATTATTTATTTTTTTTTCTAGTCTTGTCAACTTCTGAGATTTAATGCTGGTGGGGAATAAATGACAAGAACCCATTTCATGCTTGTGCTATATTGTATTCAGAGAAACTGTTTCTGATTCATGCTTGTCCTTAAAAGAGACAGAACAACGAAAGTTAGATTCCTTTGTGAGGATCTGACAGGAAATTTTACTTAGGAATATCATTGCATTCAAGAGTTTTTGTTGAAACAAAGAATTACTTTTGACAATTAATTTTGGTGGGATACATCAACAAGCCTGTAATAATGCCCTGCTTGTTATTGAGATCGTGTTAGATGCTAGGCTTTAAATTTAGGAGTTGCATATGCACGTTGTAGGAGGATGGCGAGAAAAAAAGTCGCAGAGAATTCTATGATCAGACATGAAAAAACTACTTTATTAATAGAATATGATTCTAAACCGTCAAATTACATCATAATTATACAATATTGCGAATATCACAATTAAATAAAACCTCATGATGATTCAAATTTGTATCTTATCCAATAGGAATCTTTTATACCCTAGCGTAAAATTCAAAAATTAAATGGGAATTAGTATGGTCTAAGTACAAGTGAATGCATTACTCTGCGCTCTATTGGATTGATCCTTTGCCGTCTGCATTTCATTTGACACAAAATATGGCCCTACGAAATCTGCTGTTTAGTAGATGTACATGTCACAACACAATTTATAAGACATTTATTTTCAAAAGTTTTTCAACCAAAAGCAATGACTATAAAAACGAGTAAAGGCAATTGACAATCAATTAACAGTGCAACCTCTTTTTTTTTTTTTTTTTTTTTTTTAATTTTTGGAAATTATGTAACCTCATTTGCGCAACACATAGCAAATGACGCACTTCTCTCTCACTAAAATTAAGTTAGTCAAAAAAAAAAAAAAAGAAGAGAAATAGTAGAAAATAGGCCAATATGAAAAGCTTAAGAAAGTATATAGGCAAATTTTTAGTTATAGAAATTAATAGGTCATAACTTGTCAAATTATGGTTCATAACCAGATAAGTTATGGACAAACTTATCAAGTTATGGTTCATAGCCAGACAAGTTATAGACAATTATGGACAATAACTTGTCAAGTTATGGTTCATAACCAGACAAGTTATGGACGAAAACAGTAATTTGGCCTATTTATTAACTTATGTAAACTATTGATTTATTAGTTTTAATTCATCTCAAGTTTTAGCCTATTTCCCTTTTTCTCCCTTTCAATTATTGTGCATGGTCTATGTTTAATATGGGATAGCAAATAAAATTGCAAGAATCTACCTTGTATTAAAAGAAATGCTAAGATTAATTTGTTGTATTTTTCTGATAACACAAAATTCATGCTAATGTTAAATAGAGTCAAAAGTAGATGTGTACTCATTTTTAATAAAGAATGATGGCTCTTGAAAATAAATCTAAAATAAAAAAAAGCTTTGGCTTTGAAAATTTGAGTGTTTGAGAATAATTAACTTTGACTATTGTGAAGAATTTAATTTTTGTTGATGCTTAACAATGTGCTGTTCTTCAAATCAAAGAAATCATGTAAAGTAGAAGAGTCTTAAAAGAGTAAAAGTAATTTTGCGTGACTTAAAAAATGCAAAAAAAAAAAAAAAAATCCCAATATTTTAAAAAATATAAATTACATTAACAATTTGACTAAATACACAAGAAAAATAAATTACATTTGATTAAATACACAAGAAAATTTTGTTATTATTCAATGTAACAATGTTATTTAGACATTTTGATATAATAAGGGATTATTTATTTACTTCATATATCAAGTATTGACCTCTTTATTTTCATAGCGGTTGAATGTATAATAACTAAACTAGAAGTCTAAGACAGTCACTATAATGTGAAGAATATGCAGAAGAATCTAAAGATGATAGTTTGAATAATATGATCCACAATCGAGGGAATAAAGTTAGGCATTTTATTCATGTTAAGATTGTTATTTTTTCTTCTTTCTAACAGAAACGGCTTGTCTTGGTTGTTAGACTAGAACTCCATAGTTAGGGACATTGATATAGTTCCATTTGAGGAATATATATTGGATCGAATTAAAGTTGAATTGTTTTAATTTATAATTTCATTTGAATAAAACAATTCACTTCTAACTATTTATATGTTATGACTAATTATACGTGATTTATCTTAATCTTGAGATGAATAATAAACCTGTATATGTGACTTGTATCTTTTGATGTACCAAAGGATGACATCCTGACATTGTTGAAGGTACATAGACTGATACATTGGAGATATGACTCATGTATGAGTAGATTTATTATTCATAGATAGGGAATCTATAGCTCTCCCTAAACGAGTTAATGATATCCTCTTATAGCATTATCTGGGATTAGAAAACATGAGCGTTCAACTATTAGACTACTTTATGTTATCTAACGGTTCACTATTTGTATCAGTACGAATAATGATTATTCCAATAGTGTGATAATGGAATATAAGATAAATATAATCGGGAAAGTAAAATGGAACTTGACCTCAAGTTAATTATTGGTATCTTATGAGGAAGATGCATAATATAATAAAGTCATAGACGATAGCTAATTGTAGCTTTATAAATATACTATATCGATTGATACTACAATTCTAGGTTTTTAGTTGAGTAGTACTAGAATTTATAATAGTGAGATGAACTTGTTGGTGAACAAGTACTGTCGTGATTATAGGAGTTTGATCCATATATGTCCATCGGGTTCTTTCGCTAGCTCATATATTTTCTTGATACGATACGATGTATTTTCAACACATTGGTAACTTATGTTATTTATACAATTGGTTATAAACCGAATGAAATTAACTCATGAGTAATTTATCGGTTGAAATAATTGTTTAAATTAATTTAATATAAATTGGTTGAATTAATAAAGTGTTTTAATTAATTCAAGAGTGATTTATCGATTGAATTTATTGTTTAAATTCATTCGAAATAAATTGGTTGAATTAATATTTTCATTTTTATTTGACAAGATAAATTAGTTGAATTAATGTTTTTGTTTTTATTTGATATGAGAAGAAATGAATATAATTGTTTTAATAGATAGTTTCTACTTTGAGTTATTTGAATTAAAACTGTAATTATATACGCAATTGACAGATCAAATAAAAGATAAAAAAGACTGGAAAACATGTCTATTAACTGAAATATACGTTTGGTTAATCGAACACTTTTTCAAAACACGAAAAAGTTACGTCACCCGGTTAACCAGACAGTGTTACGTAGACACTGAATATTTGCAAACAAAATCACGAATTGAACTCCAAAAATAATTCTAATTGTGGAAATAAGTCTTTTCTATCTATATAAATAACCCATTAAGTCTCATTAATACTTAAATCACTTGAAAGATTTTTGCCTAGCTATTAGTACGGGTTTCTTAGGAGGAAAAATTGATCAATCATCAAGATTGATTTTTCTTTAGCTCTCTTATAGTTAGAAAAATAGAAGATAACAAGAAAAGATTGAATAATGTATGCCTATTTACACTCTGATCATAAAAAAAATATAATAAAAAAGTCCACTTAATTGAGATCTTTGTTCTCAATTTTACAATTCTGTTAAAAGCGTCACTGCTAATCTCCTAAAAATATAAATTAGATTTTTAGTATTTATGATATAAATTATCATGAATAAAATATAGTTTTAGATTATTTAAAAATTTAAAAATTTCGCTATTCAATTTTTTTCGTATTTTCCAACAAGAAGTCCACGACACATGCTATTAGCAAAAGAAAAATTCGAATTAAAAACCTATTGGCGCGAAATGACAATACTGACCTTCTGGTGGTCGCTTTTTTTCCCGCTATGTTTTTCTTTGCTCGCCGATACAGTTTCCGCTCTTTTCTTTCCATCCAAACAGAAAGCTCGTTGATTCGTTCCAGAATTCTACAATGTCTGATAACCAGTTCGTCGATCAACTAGTCGTAAGATGTCTTCTCTTCACTTCAATTCTACAGAAATCACAACAATTTTTTTCCTTTTTTTTATATGTATAATTCTTCAATAATTTTTTTAAACCCTAATTTTGGGTGTTTAGGTGCCTGGAGATGTGGTTCTTGACCTTTCGAGCATGGCTAACCAGACTATCAAGCTTGGGGGTGGTCTTCGCCAGGTCTCTCTCTCTCTCTCTCTCTCTCTCTCTCTATATATATATATATATATGTCTTAATCATTTCAGATCCAAAAAAAAAAAGCTTAATGATTTTCACTGTAAAAGAAAATTCCTTGTTTATTTGGGAATTTCAGGAGTCTGATGCGATATCCGTGACGAAAGCTGGGAAGTTGAGGTTGTCTAAGCCTAATAAGTACTGGGTCGAGAGCTCCCAGAAAAGGGTATGAGCAACCATTTATTCAGATATGTGTGCCTGTGTGTGTGTACTTCAGTGTGTGTTTATAGTGATTCTAGTTGTAGGGATGTGCTTGGATTTATTATTGTAGGAACTGAGTTATGTCTGAATTTCTTGTCTAATGTTTTGGAATTTTCAGCTTTGTTCTTTATTTGCTCTTCAAAATGACTGATTGTTGTATTAAATTCTTAAAAATCGATTGATTAATTGTTTTCGGGGTTCAAAATTGATAGTTCTTTGCCTTTTTGGGTATATAGTCTAAGTCTCTTTTTCTTGTTTTAGTTGATATTGGAGAAGATAGTTTGAAAAATTCGATTTCTTTCCTTCTCTATTCATTTTTTTTTTTTGGGTAACCGTTTTGTTTGTTTTGAGCAGTATGTACCTTCTGTGGAGGATTCTGTTCTTGGAATTGTGGTTGACTCCAGATCTGATGTAAGAATAACATATTGTACAAACCATTTGAGTTTGTTTTATTATCGATTTCTTATTGCAAGTAACGAACATAGTAAGATTTGATTTGCTGCTTTAAGATGGATTCAGTCAGTTTCTTGTGTTGACCTCCATAGTCTATAGTAACAACTTGTTAATCACGCTATCTTGCCTATACTCGGAGTGCGCAACGGTAAACAGTGAAATAGAATAATTGATTTTATATGAAGAATTGCCATGATTTTCTGCAAATGACCTACTGCTAGTAACCTTTCTATTGGTTGGGTTTTAGGGAGAACAACTTTAGCAATAGCCTTCTCTGAACTATGTTAAATGTTCTTTATGTCAATTTATGATTAGTACATTAAACTTTGATTTATGTTTGCAATCTCAAATTTTTGTTTCACCCTCTTTGCTTCTAGAATTTTATTGTGGACATTAAAGGACCTGCAGTGGCATTTTTGCCTGTGCTTGCATTTGAAGGAGGAACCAGGAGAAACATACCAAAGTTTGAGGTGTGCACATATGAAAATGATTTATGCAAGTAAATTATGTTTCTGATTATTCTTATATCAAATTAACTTTTGAGTTTAACGAGGCTAACGAGTCGTATTGCAGGTAGGTGCTTTGCTTTATGTCCGGGTCGTGAAAGCAAATCCTGGCATGAATCCAGAATTGTCATGCACCGATGGTTGGTTTTACTGTGCCATGTCTGTGTCTCTTTGTTTCTTAACATGGATTGTTTCTTGACTTTTGCTCTATATTTCTCGTGATTTAGCCAGCGGAAAAGCAGCAGAGTTTGGACCCCTGAAAGATGGTTACATGTTTGAATGTTCGACGGGCCTCTCAAGAATGTGAGATGCAGTTTCCCTTGCTATTACTACCAATAAATTCTTGGGCAAAATACATATTCAGCCTTTCTACACTCATTCGTAATGCAGAGATGAATTTTAAGTATAGTTTTTTGGTTTTCTTTTTTCAATGTTGATATGACCTCTTTCGTTTTGTAACCAGGCTACTCCGGTCCCCACCATGTCCAATTCTTGAGGCCTTTGGAAAGAAGATTTCCTTTGAAGTGGCAGTTGGCTTAAATGGCCGTGTTTGGGTAATGTATCTTGTCTGACTACCGGGATTAAGCAGCTTCCATTTCAATTATATTATAGTAGCATCTTTTTTTTCTTTACCTTTATTACTGGCTTGAGTATCAATTGTTTCTGGTTGCTTTTTCTTATTGAATTCCAGGTAAATGCTGCATCCCCATCTACGGTTATTATTGTTGCTAACGCAATTATGAGGTCAGAGTCTCTCAGTGTGGCACAGCAAAAAATTATGGTGGAGAAACTTCTTCAGAATTTGAACATATCAAGTGAGTCGAATATGTTTATGTCAAAACTTATTTTCTGTTTGTAGTTGGGTAACTTCCCTTGTTTCTTTCCTGCTACTGATGCTGAAGCAAAATTTTGTTTTGTTTTATTTATTTTTTTTTTTTCTATAACCTGTAGCGTGACGAGTCGAGAATTGCATGCCATATGGCAATCAGATTTAGTCACTAAATTTGGATGGAAGATTTTCATTGTTTGGTCAGCGAGATGCTGAAAATTCGGCTGCTACAAATTCATGCTATAACATGATCTGAAGCATGGTTTCCTCTGTTCAACCTTCAGAATTTTGTGAAATAGGTTATTAGATTCTTTAAGTTGTGAAAATGCGTACGTATAGTACTACATTTTGCTTTGGTTATTAATTCTTATTTTCTTTAGAAACTTGAGTCAATATGGAACTTTTAACATCGGGGGCATATGACATGGTATGAGACTATGAGTTGATGGGATTCAGGTCCTATGTTTCTAACCATATTATGCCGTGTCATTTCATGAACTTGGATGGAAAATATGTAAGTTAATTTTAAAATGGCATGATATTATGTGATTGGTTAGAGTCTCGTTCATTTCACCGATTTGAGTTTTCAATTTTAAGTTTCTACAGTAAAAAGCTCTCAGAAAATGTCACATATAACTTTTTCTGCTACAGTGAAAAGCTCTCAGAAAATGTTACATCTCAACTCGAATCCGCGAAGTGAACGAGGCCTAGATATCATTTGAGAATCGAAATTGGAGTGGATCTCAATTTGAGGTGACGAATGCTATTTAAGGGCATTCTTTATTAACATTGTGCTTTTGCGGGCTAAATTGTGTCAGGAGTTAAACCTTAATTATCGCCGAGCATACTCCCATTAATCATAATCAAGGACACCAAACAAGCAAGAAATGATTATGAGGAGTGTTCTGATGCATATGTCGGGGGCAAGGTCAAAGAAAGTTGAGTTAAAACCGAGAAATTTTTTAGACAGTTCTAGTTTCTAAAACTTCGCCATAATTTTATGAAGGGTTAAAATGATTGTCCTAATTTTGTCTATCAGATTTTTAAAATCTGGAGATGAACATACACGTGAGGGGCATGTGCAGCTTAGTCAAGAGTTAATTTTGTAATTTCACAGGTAAGGACACAATTGTTAAGAAGGAAACTATTTTTTGTTTGTTTGTTTTTCAATGAGATTTTAACGGTCAGTCAGATGGAATAACTAATTTAGGACAATTTAGTACATTAAGGACCTATTCTAAATATTTTAAAAGTCAAAATCAAATTGAGATTTTTATTAGAATTCGGAGATTAAATGCTGCCTGGCTATACGAAAGCTTAGTTATGGCAAGAATTTCACCTACAACATAATTTATGATTCCTTTTTCTCCGAATTTTCACTCGCCGTAAGTAAGAAGTTCACAGACGATGACATAGAGCCGCCCGCATAAGTGTACTATTACTACAAGTGACGTTAGTGATAACGTTTTGACATGGCTTAATGCCAAACGTTGGCTCAACTATTATGAAAAAGGTTCGAATACTTCAAGATAAGCAAGTATTACAGTTAGACATATCATATCATACTCCGGAAAAAAAAAGTGTTATGAGCGAGTATTAATGATAGATTGATGATACTCGTCCCTCCATAAACAAACACAAATAAGCACAGTTTTTTCATTCTGATATGATTCTAATGTAGTATGACAGTTTACGGCTGCGCCATATTGATACGAGATCTTCGTACCCTATTACAGAATTCTCAAGAAAAGAGTCGCACTCAACACCTTTCAAGTACATTCCAAATGAATGAATGAAATAATCTGTTTTCTGGTTATGTAAACTGGTCTTCATTTTTAAAGACATATTCTTTTAGAGAATCTATTGCCATGTATTCACAGATGCTAGATTACTTTCTTATATATGGTATTGACATGCATAATTTCTTGAAGTACAGATGGTAATCAAAAACCCCAAAAATGGAAAATTGTTTACTATGGTATGTGCTCCAACTCAACCGGCAAATGACAAACTTTCCCAAACACCAATCGATAAGGAGACATGCCAATTAGTGTCTTAAAAGCCGTTCTATAAGCCCATAAGGCATTGTCAAGCTTTGTAGCCCAATCCTTGTGGTCAAAATTTGTTTGATCTCACAGTTAGAAATTTCCGCTTGTCAATTTGTTTGGGGATGTTAAGCAAGGGCAATCTTATGCTTCACTCCATACTTGGCCAAAAGAGCATTGAACACTTTGTTAAAAATGGGTTCCCTCATCACTAATTATCGCTTAAGGGGTACCGAACCTTGTGAAGATGTTCTTGTGCAAGAATTTCAAGATCACTCGGGCATCATTTGTTGGAGCAGCAATTGCTTCCACCAATTTGGACACATAATCGACTGCCAACAAGATGTACTCTTGACCAAAAGAAGGAGGAAATGGCCCCATAAAGTCAATTCTCCAAACATCAAAAATCTCAACCTCCAGAAATTAGTCAAAGGCAACTCAGATGCCTAGAAATGTTTCCCACATGTTGGCACCGGTCACAAGTCTTGACAAAGGCATAACAATCCTGGAAGAGAGTTGGCCAATAAAAACCACATTGAAGTACCTTAGCGGCGGTTTGAGTCGCACTGAAATGCCCTCCATAAGGTGCGGAATGACAAGAATGGAGAATATCGTGAATTTCTTCTTCGGGAACACACCTTCGAATGACTTGGTCATTGCACCTTTTAAACAAAAGTGGATCATCCCATAAGTAGCCCCTTACAACATGGAGGAATTTTTTCTTTGCATGATAGGTGAGGTCTAGTGGCAATACATTGCAAGCTAGATAATTGACAAAGTCAGTGTACCAAGGAAGCTTTAACTCAATTTCAAAAAGTTGCTCATCCGAGAACTTCTCTTGTATGTTAGCACCATTCTCCACTTCAAATTGCTCAAGTTTCAAGAAATGGTCCGCCACTATATTCTCACTCCCCTTTTTATCACGGATTTTCAAGTCAATCTTTAAGTAACAGTATCCATTGAATTAAACGAGGCTTGGCATCCTTTTTGGTAAACAACTATCGAATTGCCGCGTGGTCCATGTAAACAATCACTTTAGAACCAATAATGTAAGAGCGAAATTTATCACAAGCAAACACTATCGCTAACATCTCTTTCTCGGTAGCGGTGTAGTTTAGTTGAGCATCGATGAGGGTCCGACTTGAGTAGTAGATGGCCTTGAAGATCTCATCTCTCCTTTGGCTAAGTACTGCTCCAATGGCGTAATCACTCACATCACGTATGATTTCAAACGGCTCATTCCAATCAGACACAATCACAATGGGAGTCGAAATCAACCTTTCCTTAAATACTTCAAAGGCCTTCACACAAGCTTCATCAAAGACAAAAGGAGCATCCTTTTCAAGGTGATTACACAACGGCTTAACAATCTTTGAGAAATCCTTGATGAACCGTCTATAGAACCCGGCATGCCCCAGGAAGCTCCTTTTCCCCTTCACATTAATCGGCGGTGGAAGCTTCTCAATTGTTGATATTTTAGCTCGATCAACCTTAATTCTCTTAGAGGACACCCGATGGCCTCGAACATTACCTTCCTTAACCATGAAATGACATTTTTCCCAATTAAGCACCAAATTCTTCTCTTCACATCGTTGCAAAATAAGAGATAAATTATGGATGCAATGATCAAATGATGTCCCAAACACCAAAAAAAATCCATAAGCACCTCTATAATCTCCTATACTATGTCGGAGAAGATTGCCATCATACATCTTTGGAAAGTCGGGGGTGCATTGCATAAACCAAAAGGCATTCTTTGAAAAGTAGACGTACCATATGGACAAGTGAAAGTGGTATTTTCTTGATCCTCGAAAGCAATTGCAGTTTGGTTGTACCCCGAATACCTATTAAGGAAGCAATAGTACTCAAAACTCACTAAACGATCCAACATTTGATCAATGAATGGGAGAGGGAAGTGACCTTTTCTTGTAGCCTTGTTCAACTTCTGATAATCAATACACACTCTCCAACCAATGACCATTCTAGTGGGGATGAGCTGGTTCTTCTCATTCTTGATTATCGCCATGCCTCTCTTTTTTGGCACAACTTGAACCAGACTAACCCATGAAATATCCGAAATGGCATAGATGATTTCCGCATCGAGTAGCTTCAACACTCCATTCCTCACCACTTCCTTCATTACCAGATTAAACCTCCTTTGATGCTCTATGGATGGCTTATAAGAATCCTCCATTAAAATCTAGTGCATGTAAATAGTTAGGCTTATGCCTTTGATATCGGTGATACAACCCTAAGCGGACTTATGATTCCTTAAGACTTCAAATAACTTTTCTTCCTCTTGTGAACTTAAGGATGCCGAAATGATAACCTAATAAGTAGAATCTGCTCCCAAGAAAGCATAACTAAGATGATCAGGCAATTGCTTCAAAACCAACCCGTCATGAGGTGAGCTAGATGATTCCGATGACCCTTTTGACTTCTTAAGAGTAGGCATTTGATCAAGTTCTTCCAAATGAGCCTTAGAATTCTCATCACTAGGCAAAGTCTCAAGAGCTAGAACACAATCCACAATGCCATCATCCTTGACATATAACTCTTCAGCGAAATCCAACTTAGACTAGAAGTGACTAGACAATGCTCCAAAGGATCACAATGCAAAACTGTTGGGAATGGTGTCCTAGAAGCATGAGATGTAATAGGATATTTATTATTTATTTAATAAAATAGTTTATTCATTATTTTATGTGCATATATTTATGAATATTTTGTGAATATCAATGAAAATTCCATGATTATTTATGTAACCTTAAACACTGTATATAAGTGTTATATACGAGAGGATAATGTTTAAGGATAATAATCAAAAAGTAATGTTCATAATGAATTTAATTAAAGTTCAGAATCTTTAATTAAAACATTATTAATACATGTCATTCTCATTTAGAATGGAACGGTGTTATCCGCACTGTTAATATGACGAGATATTGAATGAGTGTATTTCGCATAATGAGATTATGTGGAACAAGGACACAGACACAATATGAATTTCTAATAATTCCGTTAAGTATAGAAATTCTAATTGAGTCTACCGATGGTCATATATAGGATGATCTTAATCCTGAGTTCTTAACAGACTCCTATTTATGGATTTGTGTCTTTTGATTTACTCGGTACGGATTCTGAGATCCTGTATCCTATTCCTTGTATTTTGGAGACATGATGAAGTAGGTAGCCGGGAATGTTATTACACGAGATGGAATCCATTCCTTCTTAAGAAAGAAGTAGATAAATAATTCTCTTGAGGGTTGATTCGGTACTTGGACCAGTAGGAGCTCCGATGCATGAATGTGTTTTATGAATCAGAGGTTAACGGATTTTACCTTGCTCTAATTATGAATTATTTATGGAGGATTGATCTATATGCAATGACTATATCAAATGGACACTTCACAGTTTAGAAGTAATTAATATCTATAATTTCGAGAGTGCAATTCCAAGTTTATAGTGGAATAACTATTAGAATTAATAGAATTAATTAATTAA